CTTGAATTGAACCAGCTGGCAGTGTCTTTGAAGCATATGGGAATGGATCGAAGCTGCAAATATGCAAGGTGAATGTTACATTTTGATATTTCTCTCATGGTTATTTAAGATCTTGATTCTGTGAGAATTACAGAGATGAGAACAATTTACTGCCATGCAAGTGTGATAATTTGGGGCCGGTCATTTTCACCACAAACAAATTAAACAAGACAGAAGCAGTGGCTAAAATAATAAAATAGCTGCCTCTTTCATTACATGTTCAACAACACTTGATTTGACACACTATTAGGTAGCATTACAAACTGTTTAAATACTCTGAAACATATATCACCACTATTAAGCTTTGATACCATATTGCAAATGTTTCTGTTTCAATACACTGATTTATGCTCACTTACGAGTGCACACCCAGAATGTCAACAACACTTAAATGAATCAATTTCTTAAAGGATTTGAGTTCATTCTGATGAAAAGACCAGATTAATTACTTTGTTTTAAATATTCTGTAATCTTAATATCATTATCTTTTGCATCTTCCCAGATCCAAGTGTCATACCCAGTTTAAGGATATGAAACAGGGCATCTACATAAAAGGGATAGAGCCTTCATCCTATTATTATTTCATTAACTGCTCGCTAGCAATTGAGGAGCATTGAGCTTTGTTCTGAAAGGTAAATAGTCCTGTGCATCAGTAAGTAAAGCAAAAATTTCAGCAGGGGGGATTTTCTCAGCAAAATCTCGTGGCTCCCCTTTTAGCTTATCTGGCCCTCCTGGCTCCCAAAGTACAGCCCCACAAAATAAGAGGCAAAATGATTTTCTAATCCAGTTGTTCTTAAATGTGTAGCAGAAAACTTTTCTTTAAAGAAGAGCCAACCTCATGAAAAGGGTCTTGTGGTGCCTACGTATAATAAATAATAAGCCACCATCACAGCCTCACATTTCCTTCTTCCTAGGAAAATCAAGATATCTTCTCTTTATAACAGATGATCAGACATCTTTGTCTAGAGATCCCAAATAAAACTGGGTATAGACCTGTGAGATTAAAACAAAAAGATGTTGGGATAGATTCTGTTTTAAACGAAGATACTTTTATTTCTCTTTGGCTGGGAACATGATTCATGCCTACCAATGGCCCCTCCCGATATATTAGATGGAGCAGCTGGGTGAGACATGAGGGCAGACAAGATGACCTGTTATCTCGCACATCCTTCCTTGTTTCTTTTAATTCTGACGGTCTGACCACTGCAGAGCCTCCATGAGAACCTGCGAATGGCTGGACTGGTTCAGACCAAGGGTCAGCCCTGCCAGTACTCTGCCTCCAACGATGGCTCTAGGCGTGACACCCCCAACTG